CCCCCCCAACATGAAGTAAACCATCCTCCTTACATCTTTTTCATCTATGGAGTTGAGTTACACACAGAGTGTATAATAACGTTCCACCTGTAACAATTCAGGAAAGAAAAATAAAAAGTATTGTTTTGAAACACAACGCAAATGAGTTTTAAACACGATTGTATGAGTAAAGTGACCATACACAAGTCTAATGTCACGTAAAATTCGATGTGAAAACTAAGAATCGAGCAGTCGCCATTTCATTGCCATCTGTCAAGTGACGAGGAGCGTAGAAATTATGTCACATGGCGCACACTGTTGATCAAGTTAAACGATTGACTTAGAACAATATGAATTCAATCAATTGCAGATCGATGTGTGCCTGTGCGTGATGTAACATTTTTTCATTTGTGTGTTACAAGTTTAACGTACTATCGGTATATATTCGTATTATAAGCGACGTGACACGGCTGTACCAGCTTTTTGATACAGACCACTTATAGTAGTATTGTGTTTATTAAAGGGAAAGTCAAGGCTAACAGCATAATACTCCCAGATAAAAGAGCTTGGCAAATGCAATTACAGTTATTTGTAATTCTCTAGATATTCAACTTTTCATCAATTTATGTAGTCCGCCATCTTGATTCTTCAGCAAAGGATTATGGGTAAAATATGACATAATAGAATCTGTTGTCAGAAATTGACAGATTGTCGACAGATTGGATTGGATGTTCGTATTCATAAATTCACATGATGTATCATGAATATTTATGATCATTTATTTCTTAAAAAAACAGTCTAACTGATACTTCATGTGAAGTTCACCTAAAAATAACAATGGTTTCATACGACACTTCTAGTTTGGATATTACACTTTGAATATCGTAGACGATATGATATTTTATTATCGATCTAATTCTTCTAGACGATACCTTATATTCATATCACATTTCTAACTCTCCTGTCATGTTTCGATATCATATTCATAATCCATCAATATGATATCCTGTTTTGATAGCATATTTACGAGTTGATATCGCACTTCTAGAAGATATACGATTTTGATATAACACTTCTAAAACAATATCCCGTTTTTTTTAATCATACTTCTAATTCTTTCAAGCGGTATATTGGTTTGTAACCTCTCTGCGTTAATATGCTTGATGTCCAGTCAGTAAAATTCTTGATTTCGCTTCGCATTTCAGGCGTGAAGGCGGCAAACTGAAGCTCTTGATTCACGTTGGAATGGCGATGAAATCCTCCCTCTAGTTTATTTCTTACGCAGTCTATTCGTCGCTCCTTCTGTGGTACGTGCAAAAAGTCCAACATCCGGGTTAACTCTCCTACGGTATCGTTTACAAGATCTTCGTAATGAACCACTAGTATCGGCTTTTCATATAACGTGAGCCAGAATTTTGCAACATCTCTCCACCAGTCCATGGTCTTCTTTGATGAATTGTGCCAGTCTGGAAGAAGAAATGAATGTCATGTTGTATAAATCAAACGATCCTTCAAGTTGTCGACATATCTCTGTCTAGAATAAAGAATGATAAGGACTTACGACGACTTGTGTTCATGTTGGCCTCCCACTTAGCTACCCCACGATGGTCGCGTGTCTCTTTGAAATTATAATGACTGATTACGGCTCGGAACGGATTCCGAAATAACACGATGGCAGACGTGAATAACTCGGTACCACTTGTCATTGTTCGAGTGTGAGTTTTGATAGCGATTGTCCTACCCGAGTTCATTTCGTCCATTTCCCCGAGTAAACCTGGATGATGATATTATAGTTATTGTAAGAATGAGTCTGTAATGCGTGTTTATATACATGCCAGATTTTCGTACATTGTAGCATATCGGAATACTCAGAATTTAATTTTTGGTACGTACTAAAAAGCCAAGGTAAAATGGCATACACTGCTCATTATTGTTATTTGTTAACAGTAATATAATCCTCAATCAACAAACAATGTAGTGTATCCATCATCGTACAATGTCCAGTCAAATATACACTATTATACAGTTTATACTCATTTTATTGTAGGGAGCCAAGCAGGGCGCCATCTATCTATAACTACGAGAGCACTGTGTCAGTTCAAGATGATTACCATATGTCCGAGTTGCATTTTAACGCAACGATAGGGTATATAGTAATTATTTTCATTATGTATAGATTGCTACACACGTACCTACAGGAATGTGTGTATCTACAGTAATTTGTTCTTTATTTGATAAACTAATTATGAAACAGCATGAAAACTACGATTTTTGCATGATGTGACGTCACAATGTCGTATAAGGTGGGAAATTAATATCGTTCAAATCGACAATTGTGTTTGTTTTGTAGTTTTTTGTCATCATATAGTTAGATATCTCAGAAACATTCTTCATTGATGAGCGACTTTAGAGCAAAACAATATGACCGCTTTTAATGACCCACATAATAGCATTTACGTCATAGAAACGCTT